TGGATCCTGTAGTTTGTTACTCCAGATAGTCTACTTTGTACTGTCTCAAGTTGGGTGGAGTCATCATGCCTCTCAAGTGTACCACCTCAGTGATGTACCAGTGCCCTCTGTAGTCATCCTCGTTCTATGGCCCATTGTTGCTCTTGCAATTTGTGAGTTGTTTAAAAGACGATACATCAAGTAAGATCTGTTTTGCTTTGAATTCTCTAACTCTATTTCGTATTTTCCCCAACTCATAATGCTATGTGTTTTGGGTGATACATTGCAAATAAAAGGTTAACATCTAAGAGTGAAATAAATTCGGCAGCATTTAATATTATCAAGTCTGATTTCGTGAACTCTTGATATCTTACACCCACAATTACTCAAACCAGTGAATTTGTATCATTATAATATCAATATCTCAAATTCCCAGTTTCTGAAACTAATTTTTTTTGGGGGGGAGGTTTGAGAAACTGGGTTTTCAATGTATGTCCCTTTTGATCACGTAGCTTTAGAAAACAATGGAAATGGGAGCTTATGCACAACTTAAGATCACCCTTGAGTTTACAAGATACATCAATCTGTATCGCGCATTCAAGTTTCAAATTCATGCCACAGAAATGTTTATCGTGTGATGCAGTCGCGTCATTGTCAAAATAACGGACTTGTAATTCCAGTCATAGAAAATGATCAATGAATATAAATATCTTAGGAGCTATAGTTTACTAGGAAGACTACATGTACTAATGTGTTAGTCAAACAGCCAGTTTGTTTATTTGTGTAGNGTAAATTACCTGTATGACTTTCTTTTCCTTATATCACTCTAACTTATTTTTGGATCCTGTAGTTTGTTACTCCAGATAGTCTACTTTGTACTGTCTCAAGTTGGGTGGAGTCATCATGCCTCTCAAGTGTACCACCTCAGTGATGTACCAGTGCCCTCTGTAGTCATCCTCGTTCTATGGCCCATTGTTGCTCTTGCAATTTGTGAGTTGTTTAAAAGACGATACATCAAGTAAGATCTGTTTTGCTTTGAATTCTCTAACTCTATTTCGTATTTTCCCCAACTCATAATGCTATGTGTTTTGGGTGATACATTGCAAATAAAAGGTTAACATCTAAGAGTGAAATAAATTCGGCAGCATTTAATATTATCAAGTCTGATTTCTTGAACCCTTGATTTCTTGCACCCACAATTACTCAAACCAGTCGATTTGAATCACTGAAATATCAATACCTCAAATTCCCAGTTTCTTAACCTAAGTTTATTTGTTTGGAGGTTTGAGAAACTAGGTTTCCAGTGTGTGTCCCTTTTGATCACGTAGCGTAAAAAAACAATGGAAATGGAGGCTGATGTACAACGTAAGATCACCCTTAATTGAGTTTACAAGATACATCTATCTGTATCGCACATTCAAATTTCAAACTCATGCCACAGAAATGTTTATCATGTGTTGTAGTCGCGTCATTGTCAAAATAACGGACTTGTAATTCCAGTAATAGAAAATGATCAATGAATATAAATATCTTAGGGGCTATAGTTTACTAGGAAGACTACATGTACTAATGTGTTAGTCAAACAGCCAGTTTGTTTATTTGTGTAGCACTAGGAAAATATGTCAAAATGTACCTTTCTGTAATTTGCTTGTTTTATGTTTGCAGGGAAAGAATCAGATTTCAAAGGAGAACCAAGCTAAAGTTTGGAACCAAATTGGGCATGAATTCTCCATTCTGAAAAACTTCTTTTTTTAATGTTTT